TTGCGTGAAGCTGTACTTTACTATGTCACTGAATACTGATTTGGCTGTTATCATGTCATAAGTAATTGAAAAATGGCCTAATAACGCGCGGAAGAGCTAATTTAAAAATATTCAAAATCTGATCCTGAAACTACAATGTCGGTACGCTATCAACTTTCGTTATTTAATAATTAGATATGCTTTCTTTTGCGGATTTTATTTTGTCGAATTGTCCGAGAAGATGGTTTATACCGAAAGTGTGTAATGTCCCAGCAGAGTCGCCTTTGAATCTGGCTTTTAATAAAACAAGCACGTTTTACTTCTGATCAATTGTTGATTCGAAATTTACACCAAACGTAAAACAATTTTTTTTAATCCATTCATAAACAGCTGTATTTCTTTGTCTGTAATATCTTCGGCAACATTTTTACTTTTCTCAAAAACGTACTTTCAGCTGTTCTTGTGCCGGGCTTAATTAAGGTGATATGCCACTATCCTCTCGATCTAAGTTATCAGGAAAAAATATTGGCGTGCAATTTGAATTTCATGTTAATAGCTTTTAGTTGTTTGTCATCTTTAAATTTAAAAGAATGAAACTTTTTTCTACTGTATTTGTTTTTAGTACAGTGGACTCGTTCGATGAACTCACAGTAAACATGCTGGACAAATGTTCGAGAAGAAATAATGAAATTGATAGAACTCTGCTAGAATTGGAACGAAAAAACTTTTCTTCTTTGAAGTAATATAACATCATGCTTTAGAATGTTTTGCTGAAGACCGCATTATTTTCTACAGAAAAAAAAATTCACGTTGATATGGAGAATGTTGTCGTGATGTGGAACCAAATTTTCCCTATGTTTCTATTTCTTCTAGGTCATCTGATTATTTTAAGCAAAGTGACACTTACTTTGTTTTTCACCCATACCACGTTTTAATTTGTAGAGGAAAACAGGGTTTGTACGAATACCGTATATTTGACAAGAAAAGTTTTTCTTTCAAATGAAAGTAAATAAAGGTGCAGACGACGTCAAATGGGTGTTCAATACGCATGCGTTATGGTTGTGTTAAACTTAAACCTCTAAGGATGTTTATCCAAGCTTTCTACAAAGTGTTCTTTTCTTATTTCTGCGAAGCAAATGAGCAAACGGCGCAACATATTTCGCATTGCTGTGATTTGTTCAGCGCCTGTTGAATAACGTAGTTCAGTCGGAAAATGCGAGTATATCAGTCCTGGCTAAAATTATAATTTCCATCTGCCTTGATAACCTCATCAATATCCGCATCAAAGGATGCAAAAGACAACATTGATGGTAAGCGGCGCGCGTGAATTGGCGCTTGTCGCCTTAAGTTAGCCTTGGTCGCAAACGAGCCGTCGAAGAGTTAGCGACATTCGTTAAAATAACAAACAAGGAACTGTACCTTAAATGAAATGGAAATTAACTCTACGGAAAATGATTCCATGTTCTGGAGAAGAAGCGGCGGTGAAGATTTGAATATTGACCTTAGTGCACCTGCAAGAGGATCTCTTATGATTTTTAACATCATTCTCGCCATCTTTGGAAATTTCTTCATCATCCTAACTTACTTACGCAATTTTAAGATGCGAACGAGCACGAACACATTGGTGGTAAGTTTGTGCATTTCAGATATGCTTTCTGCCTTAGCAGACACTCCATTTTGGATCTCGGTTCTCGCTAAAGAGTCTCTTTACTCAAACTTTGTTGTTTGTCGAATTATGCTGTCGTTTGAAGACTTGTTTTTGGTCGCAGCGCTCTTAAACATGTGTGGGATCGCATTGGATCGGTTCATAACGCTCGTTAAAGGACTGAGACGAAAAATGACGAGAAAACGAGCCCGCATAATCGTGTTGTGGTCGTGGATACAGGCCGTGGTTGCCGCGATACCCTGGTGCCTTGCAAGTAGCACATGCGAAAAGCGATGTTATTTGTTGTTTCCTCATATTTACGAACCTGAGATAACTCCTCGAATTATCAACATTATTTTCAAGCTTGCTCATTTGGTCTTGCCGATTTTTGTTATCTGCTATGTATTCATTCGTATTCTAAACTCCGTTAGAAGCAGCCGTAGAGTGAACTTAGAAAACAGCTATATTTCTCGCAACAGCAGCGCCGAAAAGTTCGCTGTGGACGCGTATAAACGCTCATCAAAAACAGCTATAATCCTATTTACCATGTTTTTGTTTTGTTCACTTCCCTATCTAGGAGTTATGTTTTACTCGATTTTAACGGGAGACCATTTAATGAATTTTAAAAGCGGTTTCGCCGTCTATTTTATTTTGTCACTTAAGCGATCGCTTTTCCCCGCGATTTACATATTCAGGAACAGAATGATTGTTAGCTATTTACAAGAAACGTTCCGGTGTGCAATATGTGGAGGAAGCTCAAAATTGAATTCACGAAATTCATTCGGTTACAACAGCAACAACAATAGCTCTTGTTTTACCATGTTTTGTAGAAGTTCGTGCCGTTCCCGAGTACATCCCACTGTTTACGATGGAGAACATCACCATTTCCCAAAACATCTCGATGTGTACTTTGTGGGCAACGTCAAAGAGACAAAATCCATTATGGAAGATCAGTTTGTTAACATTGTGGCAGTAGAAAGAAAAGAGACTGACTGCGAGGTGCCGAGCGAAAGCAACCATTAACCTTCTTAACAAACTGGTGAATTTAATCTCAGCTAAATAACATAAAATACTCCGTACATCAATAGCGCTCCCCAAAGTAAGGATTTAAAACAAATTTTACAGCAGGAAAATACTTGAGAGACACAAGACCAAGTTATTCTTCTACCGAAGTTAGCAAGTTAAGAAACCTGAGCAAGTCTCGATATACTGATGTTATTTTGCTGCTCTCGACTGACACCAGTGCAGTATTTAATTATGAGTCGCTTGGTGGGCATTGTGATTTGGCAAGTTGTTAACCTCAAAATCTGTTCGCTTTATAATTTTAGTGTTAGATGATATCCACGATATTTCAGTAGTCTAAGAATAATACTCGTTAAATCAATTCTCTTTCGTGCCTATTTATTTGACTTAACAAGGAAATGGAGTTGATGCTTAAAAGCAAAAGAAGTATCTACAGACCCGATATATACTCTATCTAGGACAGACACACTGAATTATCTGGTTTTCAGGGCTAGATTCTCATTGTCGAATAAAATAGAATTTTCGCTTTGTTTCACTTGAAAACATCTGGAAGTATATGTGTTGTTTCCTACTTAACAACAGAGATGGCTGCTGTCTTCTTCGACTAAATTAAACGTTGTTATTCTGTAGTTCACAGGCTATCAAAAGAAATATTTCATTTCGCACTACTGAAGTATTTTGAACTAAAAGTCTTTTGAATTAATGGTGTTGGAAATGAAGCATGAAGTCTCAGGGATCAGGTTTCCATAAGTACTGCACAATGGGTATTATAAATTTCTTGGAAAAGTGATATTCAATATCTGCTGAAGGAGATAAATGATTCATTTCTTTTAGCAAACAGAATAAAATAAATGTTTTTTCTTTCTCATGAATGATTAGAAATTAGAAACATTGCTGTAACCTAAACTCTAGCGGGTTCTTCAGTTACATGTCGCAGATTCATCTTTCTTGAATTATGAATTGTGCTAAAGTATTGCGAAATAAACATGAATACTATAATTTGGCTTAGCGTTTATCTTTCGCCGGGTTTATATTTTCAGTCCTTTCGATTGCTTGGATAGCAAAAGAAGTCAACTTTTAGAAATTAAGCGGAAATTCAACAGCGCACAATTCGACCTGTTTAATTTATGTAGAAAGAAAACCTGCAGCTGCTTTTACGATTGAGATGTGTATTTCCGGTTTCATGGTTTTGCTACCGTTCAGTTCTTTTCTCTTTTCTGTTGTCTTAGTCATCGCTTCTGTTGATCAAATCTATTTTTCGTCATCTTCGTTTTCAGTCGCTAGTCCATCCAAATGATATACGACACTACATATCTACTAACTGAAAGGATTTGACGATGGCAGCGAAATGTCAATGACACAGCCACCGCTGAAGTTTTACCTGCACGTGTGCCAACAATTTTGACAGTTGGATAAATAATCCCTCGGAAAATCAGAATATTTTTAATCTTTGGGAATAAATAATTGAAACATCGATGTCTTTATGCCATTTTTTTATTATCTTTTTTTTTTAATACGGCTGCGTTTCCACATCAGATTCGGAATTAATCTAACAAGGAACTCCTAATTTCTATTTTAAAAGTTGCCGCAGGAAAATGCTAAGTTTTAATTGAAAAACATTTTGGCGCTGGCGGAAACACAACATTTCCTCATCGATCAAACCTTAACTCATTAGACTTTCTCATTCGAACTCGCAAAAATGAGTCAGCATTGAGTTAATTTTTATTCAGAATATGTAAAGAGTGTAGATATTAACTACACCGCTTCTGTCACCAGCACTCGCCCTAGCTACACTCGCGTACTGTGTAGAATGTTAGTGAAAATGAAAAAAACCAGGAATTATTATACACTCTATTTTTATAAACATACAGTCTACACGGACAATATCGAGGCTGAAATTTGCGAAATTTCAAGAATATCTTAAGAATATCTTGAAAAGAATATTTTTTGTGTGTGTTGAAAATTTGTAAATACAATTCAACTATACATGTATGTTTTCAACTAAACCAAAAAAAATTCTGCCTTTCTCTAAACAGCAAAACTAGGCAAAAATCAACAAAAACAGCATTAGCCCTTTGTTCTATGCTAATGATATTTCTGCAAGAAGTAGTGTGTCTCTTATCAGGCTTTAATGCCTGCAGTCTGGCTCCATAATTACTTAAACGGCATAAACGTCAAACCGAAAATAATTTAAAAAGCTAATAATATTCACAAGAAAATGTTAAGCCCAAAGTCGGCAGAAAAATAAGAATAATCAGCCTGCCAGGGAAAAAAACAATATTTCATCTTGAGTCATTCGCAAACATTAAGACATCGAGAGCTCTGCAAGGCGTCGCACTAGTTTGCTGGAGAGATAGGTAGACGACAATAGAAACGAATCGTTTGGGATAAATGGCCACAAATGTGACGAGTTTAATTGAAACTAAGGTTACAAACAAAGATTAAAATCTCTTCAGGAAAGGTGGGGTTAAAACTTTTGCCACCAGTAAAAACTAAAGTAAAATACTACATTAGATATGTTGACAGTCTGCGGGTCGGTGACCGGGGCGGTGGAGGGAAAAAGAACAAATAAGTCTGAACGCTAAAAAGAAGAAAAGTTCTTCTTGCGATGATGGCAATAGTAGTAAGGGGCCGCGTGTACGAGATAGCCAACCTTTTGTACTTAACTTTGACACGCGCCCATTTTTCATTGGACAGGAGACTTCCATTGTTACCAGATTAGAGCAAAACCTGCAAACTGATAAGGCATAGGACATGCCTCGCGATAAAATAAGATTATACTTTCTTTTATTGGCATAATGTTCGTTTTCTTTTTTTTTTTTTTAAAGTGAATGATTCAAGTTTTTAAACCACGTGGACTAATCTATATTTCATTCAATATAACTGGGTGCCTTGATCAATAAGGCTTGATAGTGACTTTTATTTTACGCCAATAAGTCTTTGTACTCCTCATTGTTTTCACTGTGGTGTTGCCTATTAAGTATGTCTGAGCCGGTTTCGCTGAAAATTGCAGCAAGAGGTACCAGTATAACGTAAGTCTAGTCCTGGTGTCTGTCTTGAAATTCCTGTTATGTGGACAGTGACCTCTTTTACTCCCTTGCGGTGACCATGAATTTGAACTTTGTCAATCATGGCAACAGTATAATACAGTAATGCATGCATGCCCTGCAAGTTAATAAATTCTGTTCATTTTGTGTCAAGCACACGTCATGGTTATTTTAAGGATCGGTTAACTCCAGTAATTCAATTACCTTACAGAGGTTCATAAATGGATTAGGCTTTCGCTTAAGTCACTTATTTAGCGCTAACTAGGAGCATTCTATGATTAACACTGATTGTTAATCCATTTCATTTGATAGCGCTATTGTTGACTAGAGCAAGACACTCAGAAGAATAAGCGAGTAAATGGGTTGTGACCAGTGAGAACAAGAAGAGAAAAACAATGAAAAGGATTAAGTGAAACAAAATGGCGTGATCCTCTTTGGAATTCCGTAGTTTCTCTTTTGTCAGACTTTTAACGCCAGACTGCATGAAGATGAACGTTGCAAAAGATAAGGTGACATTTCCTAAAACTAATATGGACGTGCGTGAACATTTTATCAAATCATCTCTCCTTTGTACGTAATGCACCACAAGAACAGCTATATCTGGATTTTCCGTTCATTCGGTTAAGGACTGTGCAGTGATTGTAAGGAGGCGTGGGTTGCACGTTGAGTTCTTAGATTAATACTGAGAGCAATGCTGAGAAATGGCTGTTTAATGGCATACTTGTGGGTGTGCACTTACTGAGAGTTGTAAGTCCACTTTCACTAACATGATTAATGTATTTGTCTTGGAAAAGATAACTTCCACCCACACTTTGAGAGCGCAACTTTACTTCCAGCCCACCACCTCTTGTGTAGTGTTTTACTATCATGCCCCCACCCCTGTCCCGTTCTGACTCCATTCTTCCTATTCTGCTGATTATTGTACAGTACATTCCTTTTATGTGTTCGCCTAACTGCGCGTGTGTAGATTACGAATTATTGCCTTTTCGTGCCGTTTTCAAGACGTGCTGTCTGATGTCATACAATGAAAAATTGTTATTGAATACTCATTCGTGAAATAAAGTAAATAAACGACATATTTAATTAAGTAGGAAGTAATTTGCATCTTGATAAAATGCAGCAAAAAGCCGACACATCAGCAACACGCTTGTGGCTACTGAATGACGGAGTGTCGTCTAAGGCAACCTATCATCTAATATATTTCCTCTTTGAAATGTCTACTGTTATCCAGCTGGGCGATTATTTTGTACGGTCTTTACTGAAATGAAGTAATTTGAGTACGCGTTTTAATATGCAGATTGGGTGTCACTTAAATGAAGGCTACATAACAGTCAGAACAACATATTTCTTTTGTGTGTTTGAAAGGCCATAAGGGATCCAGTTTGATTTCAGCTTTCTTTCGCATTTTCTAACAAAAGTCTAACATAATGGGAAAGCAGCGACAAGTCAAATTGCAAGCATATCAACACCTTATGGGTTCCACTCAGAATATTTGCCGGATTTCGACAATGGCCGTCTCTGAGAGATTGCCTTCAATAATCTAAGCAATTTCTGGGTTACTTTTTACGCCATTGACTGTTTGATTTAGTCACTAAGAAGTGATGCAACATGTTCCCGGAGTAATGTCATGGAAAATGTCTGCTTAACTAAGGTTTCTGTTTTCGTCAAAGTATCTTCCTGAATTTTCCTTTTGTTTCAGTTTGGTGAATCGTACGGCAGTGGAGCCTGAAAAACAGTTTTTCTTGTTCATAAAAGAGTCCAAACTGATGTATCTTACGTTAACAGAGCCGTATGTTATGTTTTGTGTTTGGACATCTCTAAATGTCGAGCTAAAAAAAGAGTGCTTATAGTGGACACAAACTTTTCCGGGTTTGTTTTCTTCTTTCTTCGTTTTTTCAACTTCAGCCTCCAAATCAAGATTCTTCTCCGATGTTGTTTAATACTAGATAAAAACGATTCGAACGATGTCAAAAATTGTTGAAAAACACAATCGAAAATTACTAGTATGGTTGGTTAACGTTCTCTGTTTGACAGAGACAAAGCAAAACGGGTAGTGTTCTCGAGTTAATAACCCTAGGGCGTCCGCCTGTTATTGTCCAAATTACAACATAACTAAAGGATAAATTTTAATCGTATCCTTAAGTTAAAATTCATTATTTTTTCGATGGGTATAACTGGAAAAAGCGCTTCACGAACACTTCCTGCATCAAAATCTTACACTTTAATTGGTTAGATTTATAATGAAAATAATTTTAAAACGTGATATTAAAAGAAACTTCTTCGATTTAACAGCTCGTTACGTAAGCGTCGAATCAATATTTGTAAAGATTTCATCTTCATTGTAGATTTTGAGCGCATCAAACACAGGCTAGTTTTGCCAGATAAGACTTCATAAATAACCCTCAAATAACCCGTAAAACAATGATAGAGTTCATTTCGATTTTAAAAATCTTGATACGATTTTCGTCATTGTTATTTCAGTGCGGAACGTTTCAA